ATACAGGGAGAAGTGAAGGCTATGCAAAGTGAAATAAAGAAATATATACAGGAAATGAACAGTGAAAGGAAGGAAATCAGGACTCAGATCAATGATTTGGAGGAGACAGAAGAAACAAACATTCAACCAGAGCAAAATGAAGAAACAAGAATTCAGAAAAATGAGGAGAGGCTTAAGAACCTCTGGGACAATTTTAAACATTCCAACATCAAAATCATACGGGTGCCAGAAGGAGAAAAGAAAGAATGAGAAACTGAAAACTTATTTGAAAAAATAATGAAAGAAAACTTCCCAAATCTGGCAAAGGAAATAGACTTCCAGGAAGTCCAGAAAGCCCAGAGTGTCCCAAAGAAATTGGACCCAAGGAGGAACATGCCAAGACACATCATAATTAAATTATCCAAGATTAAAGGTAAGGAGAGAATCTTAAAAGCAGCAAGAGAAAAGGAAACAGTTACCTACAAAGGAGTTCCCATAAGACTATCAGCTGATTTCTCAAAAGAAACCTTGAAGGCACGCAGGGACTGGAAAGTAGTACTCCAAGTCAAGAAGGCATGGACCTACATCCAAGATTACTCTCCCCAGCAAAGCTATCATTTAGAATGGAAGGGAAGATAAAGTGTTTCCTAGTAAGGTAAAGTTAAAGGAGTTCATCATCACCCAACCCTTATTAAATGAAATGTTAAAGGGACTTATCTATGAAAAAGAAGATCAAAACTATGGATGGTAGAATGACAAAACTCACAACTATCAACAACTGAACCCAAAAAACAAAAACAAACTAAGCAAACAACTAGAACAGGAACAGAATCACAGAAATGGAGATCACATGGAGAGTTATCAGGGGGAAAGGAGAAGGGAGATTAGGGAAAAAGGTACAGGAAATAAGAAGCATAATTGATAGGAGCAAAATAAACAGGGGAAGGTTAACAACAGTATAGGAAATGGAGAAGCCAAAGAACTCATATGTACAACCCATGGACATGAACTAAAGGGCAAATGCTAGGGAGATGCAGGGCAGAGGGGGAGAATAAAATGGGACAATTGCAATATAATAATCAATACAATATGCTTGAAAAGAAAAGTATATGAGCTTAGTATTAAATAACTTTTTAGTTGTATCAAAAAGTATAGCTCTTACAGTGTAGATTTAAGCAAATACCTTTACAACACCTCCCCTTCCTTACTTTTTAGTATAACAACTATTGAGTGTGTGAGATTGTATCAATTTCTTCTGATAAAAATCTTAAATATTCCCCATGAACATAACTGAATATCACTTTTGATTTTTTAAGTGTATCTAAAACAAATAGATATTGAAGAGTCAGAAGAGAGGAGCTTAATGCTGAAAAACATTTGTTTTCAAAAGTACTACAAATGAAAGCCTTCGGAGTTCACCTCTAAAATCAGGATCATTAGAAACACTGAAATAAATTTTGAGATCATGTGGACTGTGAGTCTGCAGGCTACAGGGGAAATTATAAGTTTGGATTAAAGCCAGATTAACATGTGAAGGGGTAGAGTGAAAACTGTGCATTTCATTTTCTTTGGATGTGGAAAAGTACAAAATAAAAGTTTTTTTATATATGCATAAGATATGTAAATATATATTTTATATACCTTATATATATTTGGGAAAGTACTAAATAAAAGTTTATATATAAACATATATAACATAAAAGTTTATATATAAGCATATAATATATACTATATAAACATATAATATAATATAATATAGACAAATAATATATAAACATATAGTTTTTATATATTCTGTCCAGAAAAAGTCCAGCCACTATTACTATAACAAGAAAGGTCTGCACGACATCCATGTAACCTGGCAGCCAAGGAGAATGGGCTGGAATGCGCATGTGTGAACAATGATGACTTCACTGTACTAGTCAGTGGGGATGGTAGACACCATTGAGTGAGCATGTGTCCTGTGTGGCTGTCCCACTCAAAATGTCTCAAAAGAGCAGCAAATCTGCATCAAATTTTGTGTTAAACTTTAACATTCCTCCACAGAATCTTCTATTTAGATGATTCAGAAGGCTGCACCTATGGGCAACTGTGATTGGTAGTTCCATCACAACAACATGCCTGCTCATGCATCATGTCCTGTGCAGAGATTTTTGGTGGAATGTCAAATCACTCAGGTGACTCATACCTGCTACAGCCCAGATTTGGCACCATGAGACTTCTGGCTTTTCCCAAAACTAAAATCACCTTGAAAGGAAAGAGATTTCAGACCATCGATGAGATTCAGAAAAATAAGATGGGCAGCTAATGGTGACTGGGAGAAATGTGTGAGGTCCGGAGGTGTCTGCTTTGAAGGAGACTGAGATGTTATTGTCTTATGCACAATGTTTCTTGTATCTTGTATCCTCTTCAATAAATGTCTTTATTTTTTATAGTACATGGCTAGATGCCTTCTGGTGCAGATGTGTATTATACCCAGACCCCAAGCAGATACCCAGGCTGGGTGCATACGGAGGCAGCCAATTGATGTTCCTCTCACATCGGTGTTTCTGTCTCTCCCTTCCTCTCTCTTTCTCAAAAAGCAAATAAAACTTCCCTCAGGTGAGGATATAAGTAAATAAATGAATGAATAAATAAACAAACATACAAAGTATATAATTTATATATCCATATATATATATATATATATATATGGATAAAAAGTAACTTTTACTTTCAGAGTTTTTGGATTTGAACTAGTAAATTCATAAGTGTTTATCACTGTATCTATATATGTTATACATGTGCTATACAAATTATTCATTGATTCAAGTAGAATTTATTGCATGCCTACTAAGCACATAATCCTGTGTTTTTAAAGTATAGATGTATAAAATTTCTTATTAAGCACAAAATATGCCTCGTCAAGTTATTTCTCTGCTTCTATTTGGAGTATAAACCCTGATAAATACTATGATGCTGACATTAAGAAAAAGAAACTAATGATCTGAAATGACCAGTCATTACACTGAATGATTAGGTTATGTTTAGGTCATGGTTATATTACTAGTACACCCTTTCACCTGGAACCCTCTAAGGCACAGGTGGCAAACACAAGGCCCACACAGGCCAAATCTGGCCCGGCACCTTGTTTTATCCGGCCCGGCACCTTGTTTCTACCCGGTGGCAGTGCTGACCTCCTTGCCCCTAGTTAAGGAGTAGTTACATTTATACAGTCTGAAAATGATATTCAGCCCTTTGAAGGCAACCACGAGGCTGATGTGGTCCCCAGTGAAAATGAGTTTGACACCCATACTAAGGTCTACAGCCTGTCCATTTGGCAATACTGTTTTCCCAAACTTCTAGGATTGTTCTAATATTCAGAGATCTTTCTTCATTCATATTCAAGGAATGTGTAAAAAACAAGGAGACCAAAGCATCAGAAGCCACTACTCTTAACCAAGAAAAGAAACCCTACCATCAGAATTATAACAGTAGACATCAGTATACAATGAGTACATGGAGATGACACTACAAAAATTTACAGTTCAGCTCACTTTTAAAATGAGGAAATGATTTTGAGTGAATAGAAGTGGCATTAGGATAGGATGGTTATGACTTTGTGTTCTCTAAAAGCTTAAGGCTAAATAAAAACCACTTTCAGGAAAAGAAATGAGAAGTACCGGTATGTAATTCTTCAAGGCCATGCTCAAAAGTGTTCCTACAGAAAGCATTCCCCTACATCACGTATTTGGCTTAGAACAAAAACTTTCTGAAGACCAGGGATAGAACCAGGCGTGACTGATACAAGCAGCTTCCACTCCCACTGCGCTGCAGTCCTGGGCCGTTTGGGATGCTGGGGCAGGTCTGCTCTGCTCCAAGAAATAAAGGGATCAGGGGCAGTGGCTAATGTGGTAAAAGAAATCTATCCAAATATACCCACCCTGTGCCCCTACTATGGAATGCTGGCTTGTGGTCTAACACATTATAAAAAGTAGCTCCTATACGTACTTATAAAGATGTCTGTCAGAGTTAAATAACTCGCCCACTTCATTCATTGATTTTCACATAAAATATGATATCAAGACTTGGGAATGTGATTTCAGAAAAAAGCATTTGAACTTTTCCAAGCACAAAGGGTTGCATGAGGTCGCAGAAGCCATAAAAAGAAAGTTTGAATCCCGAAAAAGGATTAAAAATAAATCAGATAACCTCTCAGAGCCTCTAGGGGAAGGTACATATGAATTCTCTGGCTGCATCTACTCCTGCGTCCCTCAGGGCTGCAACATCTTTCGTTTGGTCAGCCACAGTTTGCAAGCCTGGAAAGAAAATGGGGTCCAACAAATAGAAAGGAATACAGCACAGTTCCTCTGCCGAGGGAAGGCTCCCCTTTTTGTGTGTGTGCTCCACACACAAAAACCTTGACCTTCCTCTGACATCAGAGTTATCTGGTTTGTTTTCCTGTGTAGCTAGATTCTGAAATATCAAACACAGCTGTAGGCAAAGGAATAGGTTGGCTAAACAGCCCACCCACAGGTGCGATAATAAACAGAAACAGAACTACCTACATAGAATTGAGTTCAGTTTGCTTGGCACTGTGTGTTGTGAGTCATCTGTATGGATAGTTAAAACAATTAAGAAAAAAACAAGAAACACAAACTGGGGGAGGGATGCTCTTTAGATTCAAATGTAGCTGAGCATCATAAATTTCCTAGTGGCCGGGACTACTGGCGGGAAGAGATTGAGGAACACTGCTAAAAATATGTTGTAGGGATTTTTGTTTCCAAAAGGGACCATGCACCTGTTGATGTGTTTTCCAGGCCCCTGAATGATAACAATTTATGAGGCTATTAATACTAAGCCCAAGATTTATCAGATGTGCTATTTGTCTTGTGGCCAATATAACCTCATAAAATTTAGGTTGCATCGGGTTAGAATAGAGCGTTCTGCTATTGGAGTTATTCGGAGCATTTAAATCGGTTAATCCTACAAGAACGGTACATTTAGCGTGCCTATTAGGGAGAGCCTTTAGGGATTCCTACCAGTTGCGGAGCCAGGCTGAAGGGGGCAGTCCATTGCTGGGTGAGGTAAAACGGAGGCAGCAGGGGAGGAATGAGTCCTGGAGACCAGACGGTGTTTCTCTAATCTGTCCACGCCAACCGCAGCCAGCTGAGCTTGGCGCACCGAGAGCGCATGCGTGTGCTGGGGGTCCAGGAAGGGCTGTTGCCAAGAAAAAAAAGCACAGTAGAAAGAAATGTGAGACAAGCATTGAGGGAGACACTGAGAGTGACATGTCAACAAATTAAGTTCATCAGGTCAGCGACATAATAAACGGTGTGAAGGAAAAAGAAAAAAATAGAGAAAGGGAGAGGAAAAAACAAGATCCAGTCAATAAATCCATTCAACAGATGTTTTCACGCTGACAGCCAGGGCCTGTCTGCCTGGCTAAGGAGGAGTGATGGCAGGAGGCCTGTCAGTTTGAACTGATTGAAAGAAACAGACCTTTAACCCCAAGAGGAACATCGACTTCGACTCATTTCCTACCTTGATACCAACGTTTTAAATACAGCCCCAGAGTTGCAGTAACGCAAAGTTGGAGAATAAGTCAACCCTTTTCCAACTGCCAAGGAGCTGGATTCTGAAAATTCTACCTTCATTTTATTTCAGTGATATTGCTAATGAAATCTATGAGATCCTAAAAACTACCAAAGAAGCTCTGTTTTGAAGTCTTTCAGTCTTCTCATAATGATCCACGGCAATGGAATTTTTTGTAGGTTGTATGGTATAATCTCAATGCTACAAAAATCATTAGTTTTCTTTTCTAGAGTATTAAATTTAATCTCAGTGATTTAACAATGCTATCGTTTTTCATGCTTCTCAAGTTACCAAGTCAAAGAACCAGAGTTTGGGAGCCTCTGGAAGATTCACTTAGTCTATTCCTCTGTCGCCAGAAAAAGGCAATCACTGAAGCACATATAAGCAACGAATTTAACTATAAATACTACACGGTGAATATTTCCTTTCTTTTCAACACCAGGGAATTCACTTTTGTGCTGCTTTTCATGTGTCTTTCGTTTTTCACATGGAAAATTGTTGAACAGTGATAACAAAAGATGATTATTACATGCCTTAGATAAGGGAACTGATACTCCAACAGGTTAACAAAGTCTTTTAAATGCAAGTCTAATTCCTATAATTTAAAAATTTTACATGCCTTTCTGTTTTGATGTACCTGGCTGGCATTTACTTTTTCAAGACTTGATGCAAACATCACCTGTCCTTAGTGAGGCCTTGCTTTACACTCTCTGTCAGGCGAGGTGTTCCCCTACCTCCCACGGCAGCCACGGTGTGCTATGCTCATCCTGCTTTCCTAGCAGCAGGCTCAGGATACCCTAGGTGTACCAGTTACCAAGTGGGGATGCTGACATATCTACATATAACACAACTGTACTCAACATGTGTTATCTGGTTTCATATCATTGTACAGTTCTCCATATATGACTTAGTGCTACATATAAACATGAATTATGATTATAAATATATATTTAGTTGTAAATCATGGGCAGAGATTTTCCAATTTAGAACAATATTAAGAATCATTTAAAAGTAACTTTAAAACAGGTTACAGTTAATATATGTTGTTACTTCTGTTTTCATGTGTAGAATAACTGAACCATCAATCATTTGGAAGGCATCTGTCACATGCCTAGACTTTGGGCATTTGCTTCAACCATTTGGATGGCTTGGTCAAGATCTAGTTGTAGCCCTGACCAGTGTGGCCCAGTTGGTTCAGTGTCGTCCTGCAAAGCAAAAGGTTGCCAGTTTGGTTCTCTATCAGGGCACATGCCTGGGTTGTGGACCCACTCCCTGGCTGGGCTATGTGTGAGGGGCAATCTATCGATCTTTCTCTTCCTCTCTTTCTCCCTCCTTTCCTTTCTCTCTAAAAAAATATAAAATAAATGAATAAAAATAAAAAGATCTAGTTCTAGTTAAAATAGATTCGACATTTTTACAAGAGTCTAACTCTGTTTGTCTCGATTACCTCTATGGTTAATGCCCTGAAGATATATGAGGTCTTTCCAGAAAATATCCAGACACATAATATGAAAAATAGAGATATTTATTGAAGAGGATACAAGATACACATTGTACATAGAACAATGACACCTCAGTCCTCTTCAAAGTAGGCACCTTAGAACCACATACAGTTCTCCCAATCATCATCAGATGCCCGTCATATTTTTCTGAATCTCATCGATGGTCTTAAATCTCTTTCCTTTCAAAGGTGACTTTAGTTCTGGGGAAAAGCTAGAAGTCGCAGGGTGCCAAATCTTGGGTTATAGGGGTGTTGAATGACCTGGATGATTTGACATTCTGCCAAAAATCTCTGCACAAGATGAGATACATGAGCAGGCACAGTGTTATGATGAGGCTGCCAATCACAATTTCCCTTGCTGTGGCCTTCTGAATCATCTAAATAGTTTCTGCAGGGGGATGTTCAAGCTTAATGTAAAATTTGATGCAGATTCATTGCTCTTTTCACTCAGACATTTTGGGTGTGAAGCCATACAGGACACATGCTCACTCAGTGGTGTCTACTATCCTCACTGATTATTACAGTGAAGTCGTCATTGTTCATACATGCACATTCCAGTCCACTCTCCGTGACTGACAGATTATATCAATGTCATGCAAACTGTTCTCATTATATTAACAATGGTTGGACTTTTTCCAGACAGCCTTTATATCAGTAAGATTGACATAGTAGCTTCTTACATAGACCTTACAATCAGAGGGAATGCAAATATATAATTGTGATTTTGTGAGTTTTCTCCCAGGCAACTGCAGCTTCTATGTGTATGATCTAAAACTCTTGGGTAAATATATACAAGAATGATTATAATGCCCATTCCTCTGTCTCTTCCTATTGTAATTTCTTTTTAACCCTCATTAAAACAAATGCAAAAAGTCCCTAATTAATCACCCTACTCCTAAATACCACCCATCGTATTCTTTCCTGCAAGAATTGTCTTCCTGGAGCCCTTCTGTGACAAAAGTTGATCCACAATTTCCTGAAGGTAAACCAAAGCTCGAAGAACCTCCCCAGCCTGACATTTGGTCTCTCGTTGACCTGGGACCAAGCTGCCTCTGCAGCCTTAGATCTGTTCCTTTTCTACATTCCAGCCAAAATATGATCCGCTGCGTAACTAATTTCATCCCAGGGCTGCATGAAGACTTTAATGGGCCCAGGGCACCTCTGCCCTCTATTACAAAAAAATTAAGTAAAAATTACATTTTATGCTTACATTGGCATGCATTGGATCCATTATCATGTATTGTTATCATATTCCTTTTCTTCAGATCAAAAATTAAAATTTAAAATATTTTGTGGGCTCTTGAAAGTATTACAGGCTCTGGGCACAGTGCTTACCATGCCTGATGGTTACCCTGGCCCTGACCATTCATGCTCCCACCCGTCTATCTTTTTGGCACCACCTGCTCTGAGTGTGTCTCTGAAGCTTCCCATTCGGCACTCATACACATCCTCAAAGGTCCACTTTGAAGTTTACATAGAACCTTTTATGAGGTCCCACCTTCAATCTGTTTTCACCTTTCATTAAATTCCCATCACACTGTTTTTTCTCTCTCCTTTTCCCTGTCATCGTCTTTTCTCTATCAGACTTACTACCTGCAATAACCACTCACAGCTCGTACTCTGTGCCAGATGCTCTGTGGGTGTGTGGGGCCTTTTTTGTCTATTGGCTTTAGTGAGAAGACAGACACTAAATATTTCCAAGTTTAATGTAGTTATAAATATAATGAGTGCTGTATAGAAAAATGCAGAATGCCATAAAAAACTATAAAGAAGAACCTGATTTAAAAAAAGGACTTGGTGGGGAGGTTGATGGAACTTCTATTGAAGAAAGTGATGTTTAATTTGAGATGTGATGGGAAAAACTGACTTAGCCAGGTGATGAGAGGAGAGAAGCTCCAGATACATTTTACATGTGTGTGTGTAATTATCTTTCCACGTGTGATATTGAAAGATTTTTTTAACCAGGGACTGTGTCTAATATTTGTGAACTTATTCTTTTGCTGCATTTTATATCTTTTTCTTTGCTTTCTTGGAGCTATATAATTAATTGTGTGTTAAGAATATTCAACAAATATTTGGAAATTAAAGGTCATTTTTTAGAAAACAAAACCATGTTTTAGATATCTGGGTTACTTAATATTTTCATCTCTCAATGAACAGCTCAACACCATAAGAACACCATCTAAATAACACCCACATCTTCCTTCTTTTTAAACAGTGCATATGTATTGTTTTACTTTGGCTTCACTGGAAGACTGAGATAATGGAACAACAGTTGCTAACTGACAAGCATGATACAAATGATGTTACATTTCAATATAGAACTTGACCATAAGGTAAGCAAAATCCTATTTATCCAACCTCGACTATTAGGAACAGACAGTGTAGATAAGAGATAAATAACTAATCATTCCACAGTCATTATGTATTCACACCATGTAAGTGTCCAGCCAGCATCTATTGTGCATGGGCAAGGAAATAGATCATAGACAGAAAAATGAATTAATCATGACTCCTGAGCTGGTGTGTTGACACCCAAAATTCAAGCACTTTATCCCTAGTAATTTTCATAAGGGAATGAGCTTTGCCCAGACTCATATATCCCCACATAGTGTTTCACACATAGTAGGTGTTAATAAACATATGTTGAATAAAATAATGAATAGGAAAAAGATGCATAGTCATCCTTAAGATCTCACTGTGAAGATAAAATAAACCAAGAAATCATATTATAAGCAATCATAATGTAAAAGAACCAAGGAATGGCTAATGAAAAATATAAGAAAATAGATACCAGATCAAACAATGATCACAGGATGACAATACTCTGAAATTACCTAGTGTTGAAGCCAAAAGATAATGATAGAAATTAGTGATTTAAGCATTATTTTTCCTTTGCACTTTTATGCAGTTTCCAAATGTTCTCCATATCACCTATAGTGAAACCTTAATTAAGAGAAATGGTAAATGTTATTTAATAAACAGTTGAATGTTTCCAACACTTCATTAGGAAAGAATCATAATCTTTGGCCCTAAGAGCAGACATGGACCAGATAGTTTTGAACCTTCTGCCAGAAAAAGGACTACAGAAGAGAAAAGGATGTAGTCAGTCTCAAAGAATTGA